ACCTAAAAAATTGGAAGTCACCAGGATCGGATGAAATACCAGCTGAATTCATCAAATATGGTGGAAAAAAGATACAAAACCTTCTTTTTAGGATTTGTCGGAAAATCTGGAAAGATAAAAACATTCCAAAAAGCTGGAATGAAGCCATAGTGGAACCAATTTACAAAAAAGGTGACAAGTCAATATGTGAAAACTATAGAGGAATATCACTGCTTAACTCAGCTTACAAAGTGTTTGCGATAATACTATTAAAACGACTAATATCGTACGCAGATGAAAACTTAGGCAGATACCAGTGCGGATTCCGAAAAGGGAAATCAACAATAGAACAACTTACTATCATAGGCCAAATAATAGAAAAAAAGTATGAATTCCTCCAAAACATCTGGCAGCTATTTGTAGATTTCAAAAAGGCTTACGATAGTATACACCGACAAAGTCTCAACAACATATTGGAGGAAAATTCGGGATTCCACAAAAATTAGTAACTCTGACCAAAATGTTCATGGAAAACACACAGTTTAAAATAAGGATCAAATACACGTTATCAGAAGCCTTCGAAGTAAGAATTGGCTTAAAACAGGGAGACTCACTATCACCTATCCTATTCAATATAGCTTTAAGAAAAGCTATAAGGGAACTGCAATTAGAAACAACTGGAGTGGAAATCGGTCAGCAACACATACAAGTACTAAGCTTTGCAGACGAATTAAATATACTAGGAAACTCCCTAGAGGAGACGGAAAAGGCAGGATAAGCCCTTGAACAAACAGCTAACAAGATAGGTTTAAAAATCAATGCCGAAAAAAGTAAAGTAATGGAGCTGCTAGAAGATGGAGATAACCCTAACACGGGGTTCCTAACTTTCTAAAAAGTAGATGAATTTCGGTATATAAGAGCTATGTTGTATGCTAAAAATGACTGGTTAAATGAAATAGAAGTGAGGATCGTAAAGGTGGAAAGAGCGGCATATGCCATAAATAAGTTTTTAAAATCAAAATTTTTTTCAATGAAGACTAAAACTAAACTATATACAACAATAAGATCAACGCTCACTTATGGCTGTGAAGCTTGGACTACCACCAGCACAAACGAAAAAAGACTTAGGACCTTTGAAAATAGAATTTGGAGGACAATATGTGGACCAACTTGCGATAGCACTAATGCTATACGGAGAAGAAAATACAACAAAAAACTATAAGACGAATTGGGAATAGCGTCAGTTATCAGCTTTGTAAGAGGGCAAAGGATCTAATGGTTAGAACATGCGATGCAGAGAAACGAGGATGATATAAGTAGGACAATCCTAAATTGGAAACCAATGGGAAAAAGACCACGAGAAAGATTCAGGAAAAGGTGGCTGGATGTTGTGGAAGAAGAACTGGAAAGATTTGAAGTACAGAAATGGAGGGAATTAGTTGAGGATCGTGAAAAATGGAGAGATATTGTGATGGCGGCCAAAACTCTAAGAGAGTACTAAGTGCCAGAGAAAGAAGAAGAAGAAGATCATTGTTATGTTTTAATGCAATTTAGAACAAACAACAATTTAATTTTTTTCGTATAAAACCAAAATATGATATTATAGGTACCTACTATTTGAATTCGATAAAACATATTGAAGTTAATTTTTACACTCATAAATCTTTGGTGAAGCAATATAATTATATAAAGTAGTTTTAAAATGAATTGTGAAAATGTAATTCGTGTAGAATATTTTATAAATATCAATTAAGGATTAAAGAACTCAAAACTCTTGCGACATAAAGAAAAACAAAAATGGGGATCTATACATTTAAATCATATATCAGTATTTATACGAGTACACATGTAAGACCTTATTATGTATAATGTATTACATTAATTGGGATGTGTGTAGTTTATAGTATATATTGATGTCCAATGTATAACCGCACATCAAACCTTATACAGCTATGTATAATCAGCATCGCCGGTTAGATCATTTAATTAACATACCTTATAATATATTATATATATATATATACATCGTATTTACACAGATAGGTCACATAAAGTCAGAACAGCCTTTTAGTTTATTCTGGATCAGTCGTATAATTTGAATTACTTACAATTTTTCCGACTTCAAACGGGTGCGCGAATATAATTATATTGTTCCGGAGGTGGCATGGACGAAATCGTGACACAGAGTGAGTATAATATTATAATAGCCGCGTATAATATTATGAACGAAAACTTATTTGTAACGATTTTGGACAAGATTCCGGGTACCTGAGATGGTTTATTTTGAGATTGCGACCCAGATATTAAATATATAAGGTTGTGCAGTTAAAAACTAGCGAAAATGCGTCGTTTTAATGAATCATCCCAAAGTTTGTGCACGTTTACTCGCTACATAATTCACCGTTATTGCTACATCACGTGTTTTATCGTTTCCGATGGCACTAAAAAAATCATAGTTGTAGTTAACAGAATTAAAAAATATTTCATATGAAATATTCATTAATACAATCTTTACTATTATTCTTGATTACTATTCACGTATTTTCAATTTAAACTGCAAATATGTTCAACATTTTTATATATCTTTTAAAGTGCAGTGTTACGTTTTCATGTCACGTTTTTAAAAATACAAATGTATTAGAAAATATTGGGATACCATCTTTTCATAGATAAAACTTTTCCCAAAGCAATTTTACTCAAAATCTATAGAAGTTCTCAGAAATCGACATAAGGACATTTCAAAATAATGTTCAAAAAACACACGTTTACTATAGGTACAGGATATAGGATAGAAAGCAATGAATTTATATTCATACTGTTAATGTACAGCCAAAAAATCATCAGCTAAAAATGCATTTGCTTTCCTAATGGATACATATTGTAATTGAATTATCAAGAAATATTTATTTGTAGCTTAACATTGCTGATTGGATTGACTTTCTATTATTTGTGTTCAGTTTTATTAATATGACCTTTAGAAAACCGTATTTTTAAAGTTAATTTGTATTTTTAAAGGTCAAAGTACAAATACTAATTTTATTCTTTTTTGTATGTCCAGGTTTATATTTATTAAAATGTTATTATTTTAGTAGTGAGATAAAATGGTTTTATTCTATTCGATTTTGTTGATATGTACCAAACATAATTATACAGAGCATTTTAATTTTTTTTAATTTTAACTAATAATTATATTAAAACTGTATAGTTTATGTGTATTTTAATCATATTTTTCTAAACTACTAAATCGATTAGTTAACGGTAAATTTGAAATAATTTTACTATTGCAACACTAGAAAATACTATGATTAAATTTTAGTTCAAAAACTCTTTATTATATTTATTAAAATTAATTATTAATTAATACATGTACACATACAGTGGTGTATAATTGGGAAGAGGATTCGGGATGAACCTCATTCAAAGAATAAAAAAAAACAATCCTATTTTTAAATAGTCAAAATGAAAAATATGCACATAATGAATATTTTAATGTGTGTATAATATGTAGTATTCGTCAATTGTAATAGAATCAAATAACCATTAATTTTTTTCCTAAAGTGTATAAAAATATATTAATTATATATTAATTTTGGCATAAGAACTATGTATACAATTTAATCCCTTTCCCAATAAGAAAATTATATGTACGCCATTGTAAACAGGTGTATAAAATGTATCACATGAACAAAATTTGATCAACATCGTATAAATGTTTCAGATCTAAAATTACAAATATTTTTGTATTTTTGAATATACTATTTCAAGTGTAAAAATAACTGTTTTCTATTTAACTAATGTATTTTTAGTTTAAAGTAAGTTACACCATAATATTCACTATTTTTTATATATTTTAGGTAATTTTTCAAATTAATTTTAAACTACCCGAGAATTTAAAAAATGACTTCTCTAAAGTACCGACTAAATAAGGTATTTTCGTAAGATTGATGTGATAACATGAAACATTCGATTCAATTTTTCAAAAAATGAAAATAAATATGAAATATTATTCTAAATATATAAAACACATAATAGTCAATCCAATATATTCTATATTTTATGAAAAACCTTTGATTTTAAACATTTCTATAATATAATACTTCATGTTTTTTAAAAATCACTTATACAATTAAATTTTTTTTAATATTATACACGCACTACGTATTATCATAATATTTTGGTACTTCAACCACAGATATTATTTAAATTTAGAAATTGAACTATTAAAAAACTCTGATTATATGGATTCCACATAAAATTATTGTTGTTTTTTATTTTACCTTACATTTTTAAACAAATAAAAAACTATTGATTTTTCAATAATTGTACTTCTTTAACATAAACACACTTAAATAGCAGTATAGATTTTCATATTTTAAAGTTTCGTGTATGGTAATTAAAATTATCAATCTTAAGAACTAAATATATACAAGTATTTTTCTAATAAATAACAGTTATTTTCCAAGTAGACTTTGTTTCATATATTTAATTAAAATAAATTTTATCTTTTTAATAAAAAATAATTATAATATTAGTTACTATACATTATATTATCTTCCACTACTTAAATGTTTATAGAAAAACTAAGTAATACGATTATTTTTTCAGTTTTTATTTATAAGTTTTAGTAATCATTATTAATATTCCACGTTTGTCTATTTATAATTATTAATAATAATGAAGATGAATAATTATTGATATTCATTCTAACTAATAAAATCATTTTTAACCAATATGCAATATTATTAATTTTTCATAGTAGACAAGTAATGGTGTTCGCATGACATTAATGTATCAGATTTGCCTATACATAGTGCCGTTTTGATGAAAACGAAACATTTTCCCTTGGATATTAAATACGACGTATTTTAATTATTAACTTAGTAATTATTAAGTTATACAAACAAAAAATGGTAATCCTCAAGCTATACTAAGCTTTTATAGGTTATTCATATTTATGTATTTCTATGAATTGGTGTTCAATACTCTAACAAATTGGATAATTTTATCATTTTAAAAATTACCTTTCTTCCGTTGACTAACCAAGTGATCTCAGGCACTGGTTTTGAAGGTCCTGACGTACACGTGGCATCCAATATATCTCCCACGTTAAACACTTCTTTGGAAATATCGATTGTCGGATCGACGTTTTGAATTTCTGAAAATTACACAAAAAATAATGTTACTTTTTTTCGAGCTACGTGCGTTTATCCATTATGAATATATAACACTGCTTACTTATCACTGTGAGTTCATGAAATTCTGAAGTTTTACTGTATATCGGTGATTCAGTGGTCACTGTGCACCCGTACAGACCAGAAGCATCATGTTGTACGTCCATCAGTGCTAAATTCGAAGAGCTCGTTTGACCCCACTAGAAATATAATGAAAACAACAAATAGATTATATATGAAATTTGCGTATACATATCATTAAAAAACAATAAAATAATCTTCTATTTTATTGTATCTGCGATCGTTTTACTAAATTACATGGAAAAATAAAATTATTGTTACCATTATTGGGATACTGATATCGATGCATTACTGATGCACATGGATGCGCTATCGTCATCTCAAGTACGTCAAATTTAATTAAAATGTAACACACGTACATTTATCATATTTTTTACTTTTATAATTTCAGTACTATAAACTATTATTGCATATGCTATAATAGGAGCCACATAAAGTTTATGTGCATCATAATTTTCTCTTGCATATTTATACGTCTGTTGTTCATAACCATAAAATAACACTACTATGAATAAATACCAACCGAAGTCCTATTGCATTGTTAAGTTAACGCTTCACTCATATTATCATTTATCATATTCCATCGACTATTGAACAGTATTCAATTATTGAACGGCCAAAATGGACTGATATGATTATTCGACCAAATTAATAAACGTATACAACTTATTGTGTACCTATATTTAAGTCGTATTATTATATTTTTTTATTAATTTAAACATCTTTTTAATTAAAATATATATTGAACAGTTTGCTAGAATGATTATATTTTTATTATTTTTGACTGTAAATATTGCAGAATAACAATTGTGTTTACACAATTACCGGGTTTTTAGTTTCATTTTTGAAAATAGATACATCCATATTTTTGGCACAAAGATTATACGATTAAAAAAAAGTACACAAACACCCAGATGTTTAATAATTTTGTTAAATTTTTAGTTGTATGGATGGATAAATAAAATTATAACACATGCACATTTTAATTACACGGCCAACCAACTAAATTTATTGTCAACGTTTAACGTCAAACAAATGACAACAGAATATAATATATCTAGTGTAACTAACAACCTCGACTCGTAGGCGCTATGTATACTGTACAATACCTCAAAATTTTGATCGTTAGTTACACAAAATCAGCCCTATTATCTTACAGAATGTGTTTTTTTATTGTTGTTTAACCCGTTTGACATATAAAACAAAGGTAAAAATTGTGTTGATTTTTAATATTAATATATTTGATTGTAAAAAATCGTGTATTAGATACAAGCGTTACATGGTTACAACAAAGTATACCCACTGGTCAAGTTGAAAAAGTTATTATTTTTTAATTAATTTCATAAAAAAAAATTGAATAGTGATTCGATTTCGGCTGTCATAATATTTTAGTTTTCATCAACTTTTGTACGATATCAATACGCAATGGTTTTTAAACAATGCTCGCATTTTTTAATGCTTAAATTATGCATCGCTTTAAACTAAAAGTCTTGAAAATATGTTTGTATCAATATAAAAAATTCGTTAACACATAGATTTTTGTTATTTACAAAGACAGAAATTCTTTGACGATGGAAATTGTTCTTTTTTTTAATAGAAATACCATTTATTTCACGCAATTTTAATTATTATTCAACTAATTTGTTAATATTTTTATTTTTTAACATGATCAGCATTTGAATTCGGTACTTTTGAAAGCTAATTCTTTGAATTAAAATTCTTTGAGTGCATACCTATAAGTTTTCAGTGAATTGAAATTTGAAAAAGTGCATAATTTAAACATAAAAAAAGGGAAAAAGGAGTCAGTATACTTAAGAAATCATTCTTTATACACATATAAGTACTTAAGTAATTTATTCATAAACATAAAAATATGTTTTTATGGTCGATATTAATTTTCGTTGGCTATGTACATTATTGTTAAAAATGATAAATGATTATAGGTATCCAGATAAAATATATTTTGTCTTTTAATGACTTTGTACAATTACTCATATTTTACTAAAGTAGCGAATTCATATTTATTTTAAATGTTTATGTAAAACTTTTTATTTTTTCAAATATTAAATTATTTAAATTATTTATTATCATTAAGTATTCAAGTTTCAACATTTATGGATTCAACATATATCTGATATTTTTTCGCTTGACTGTAAAATTAATATCATAGTTATTCAGCATTGTTATATAATTTGGATTCGGGAATGGCTTTTAACCAGTCCGAGATTAAATAATTGAATGGAAAATTTAAACTGTATTATATCTATTCACAATGTTTACTATTAAGTACGAGTATTAACCTGTATACCATGAGTGGTACATCAAAGCTCCAAAACAAACGAAATATATTTATAACCTATAATTTCATACAGGAAATATTTAAATAAATAGAATTTATCGTCATATTTCAACGAAATAAAATAAAATTTTATTTTACACTAGATTTGACGTTACAAAAATATTGTTTATTTTAATCACCAAAAATTGCTATTTTATTATGATCATGACTATAAGAAAAATAATGGAAATAAACTACATAAAGTGTTTATAGTTTTTTCACGTTAATCGTTTTATCTGCAGGTACCATCGTTGCAATATTTTTCCAGTTTTAGTTTGATGAAATTACAGTTGATGTATTCGAGCTAAATTCGTATTACAGTATGACAAATTTGACATTATATACGTATACTACCGAACGGATATATTCACAATTAAAGACTTCCGGCTGTATGCTGGGTCGGTTACCTTATCTACCTACCTTACCTAACCTACCAATTCCAAATGGTCTAGTATTTTACCTACTACCATTACATCATTATAAATTCCATCCAACCGTTCCTTTTCGCGATCTTCTTGTTTTCCGCTCTTTACTTTCACATACATTTACAAGGTATTATTATTGTACATAATTCATAATTACAATATTGGAAATTTACTAGATAGTATGCACTTAGACTGAACTCTTTACTATTATATCTTTAAACACTTTGATGTAACGCCGTCTTCCACCGTACCGACTTTCTAGATTGTCAGATACGTATTAGCTATATTTAATTTATCTATAGTATCGGAAAAATTGATAAAATAGAAATGAATAAAAAAATTGAACGGTTTCAACATGAAATATATTTTTTTTCATTTACATTGTATAAACAAGTAAATAGAGTAAACATATTAAAAAATTATAAAATCTAAATATTTTATCGTATAAGTAAAATTGTAATCATTATAAATAGTTAAGTATATTATCTTATATCAAAATATAATATCATATGAATAGTGTAGAAAGCCAAAATAATCTATCGTTCATATACAAACTAAAACATTTATTTTAGAGAAATAACAGTGTCTAGCAAATTGTCTGTCATAGAAAACACCATGCAATACAATGTCTTGCCATCGTAATCCAATCATTTATTTTAATTTGTAGCACAATAATAATAATATTACATAAGGTGCTAAATAAATTAATTTACAGATTGCTCCATCTTTTCTATTGCATCATATACGAGTATGTAGTAATATTTTTATGAAATATGATTGTTCATTATTTTATATGGATTTTTGTACTTCATAAATAAAATGTATATATAAAGTGTTATATGAGTAGTAAATTAAATTAAATTATTCATGATTAATTACTATCTTAAGATTTATTTCGTTTGAATGAAATACTTAATATTTTCAATGGGTTTTTGTTTTAATACTCCGTCATATCAATTTTTTAGCTCAAATTTATGGACGTTGTATTTATATAACAGTTAAATTATAATAATATTATTTTTGGTATTAATCTTTAATGTTTTTTTATTTTTTTATTAACATAAAGGCTTCAATTACATAGACTATTAGCCTAGGTTTAGTTTATATATTTAAATAAATTTTATCTGTGTTAGAAATTACATGGATTTTTTGAAAATATTTACAATTTTTGATCTATGTCTGTTTGATTGAAGATTTTGAAAATATTGGCAGTTTTTTGTTGATTGAGGTCTTCTTTGAGTGTTGAAGGATTGTTGAATAGAATACTTGTGGCTGAGTAATTAAGGTAGTGAATTAGTGAGAGGTTCCTTGGTAATAAAATGTGAGTAAGTAAGGTGGAAGTGACCTCTTCTGTTACTTTTTATAATAATTTGTTCACTCCTAGATGATTTGTCAGGATATGCTCATCTGTTCACTGTTTTTTAACGTTTCTTAATTTATTATCGTCTGAAATAAAATCCCAGTAAGTTTGCAGAATTTTTAAGATCCGTTTTTGCGCTTCATTTATCAGATATTTTATTGAAAGAGGAATATGAGAAATGGATAAAAAGGAGATTTTTAAAATGAAATTTCAGACATGAGGCTGTTATGCGATGAAATTTAGATTGGGGATTGAATATTTTGAGAGAAGATGAAGAGATCAAAACAGCGGTTTGATTATTATTGTCTTTGAGATTCATGTTACTAGTTACTTAGGACTGATCTAGAACTATATTATTCGGTTAGTTTTCAAAAGAAATTAAATTAAGAATAGTGATATTTTTTATATCATCTTAAGTAGTTTGTCCAGAAAGAAGATTGGTGACTTTATTATTGCGTTTTGTTTTATTCAAGGGATGAATTTTGAGTATTTCTTTCCTGCAGGTTTCTGATCAAGAGTAATATAATTGGATACAAATAACTTAAGCAAGCTTTTTGATGAGTTTAAAGTGGAAATGTGTTATCGAGAAGGCTTTGATGAATTTAGTGGAAGTTCATTTCTAAATGTTTTGAGACTAGTGATATTTCTTAACCGTTTTAAAAATGATTTTGTATGTATCATATTAGGCTTATCGCCCATTATAAATATAAATGAGCCCGTAGATTATTATAATAAGTATGGAATATATACTAAGATATATATTACCAAATTCGATGTTTAGCAACTTTCATAGGGTGCTATTAACGGAAGCTAAACAAATGCGATAAAAAAGATTGAGAACACATGTGTGTGTTGATCGGCTTTTAGACACGTATTTATTGTTTTTTATATTAACAATTTTTGATTTGTTGTCTAAAAAATAATTTAATTTCTTTCGTAATTATTTAATGTATTATCATATAGTTAAATAGTATGATCAGAATACAATTATTGATA